GACCACGGACACCTGTTTCATGCTTCTTGGATACTCATCAGCATAGTCTGACTTGGTCTTTCGTCTCTGGACAAACGAACAAAAACATTGCAACTATCCTCTATCTCGAAATACGACAGTCCAAAGCGCCATCTATGTATCTATTCTAGTGTATCGAACGCACATGTGCAAGTCGTTCTTACAATCTCTAACATGTTGCGGCGCTTTCTCCCGGCCAGGTCCGTTTCCATTTGAATATGCTGTATGCAAATATTGCCTGCAATTTGTTGTATAGGTAACCTTCCATTACCGGCTTTTCATACCCTTCCAATATTTTTTTTGTTTGATCTCACTAATGTATTTTTTTCTTTTACAGGTAAGTCGCACCATCCAGATAGTCGGATGGTAAGACAGTTTATTTAACATATACCGCCCGAGTTTTGAAGATTTCAATACATATTTCGGCGTAAAATTTTCTGTTCTTTCAATTGCATGTGTAAAAAGGGAGGTTTCCATTTAAAAACAAAAGTTGACCTTGAAATAACATTGAGGTGGGGTTCAAGGTTGAGTTCAAGAAAACCATTAAATTTCTTGTTTTAAGAACCGCTAGACAGACATCAGCGTTCGAGACATAAAGGGTTGTCCAATAGGGACGCAGGAAAGTAAACGTCAATTTGACATAGACGCCATCTTTGTTTTCTGTCACCGACATGTCATTTTGTTAGTTGAATGTTTACCATTGATCGCTATGGAGTCGTATTCGATTGAAGACCGCATTAAAGTTATTCAAGAGCACTACAAAAATGGTGCAAAAATAAAAAACACGTTTCGCGCGCTTCGTGAACATTTCGGTCGCAACAACCGCCCAAACGAAACAACCATCGGTCGTCTGGTGCGTAAATTCGAGGTTCTGTGGCAAATCTGCCACGCTCTGGCCGGCCAAGGAGCGTTCGCACACCGGAAAATATTGCTGTTGTGAAGGAGAGTGTGAGAGACGATCCGAAACAATCAACAACGCGTCGATCCCAAGAATTGGGCATCTCGAGAACCAGTTTGCTCCGCATTCTCCACAAGGATTTGAATGTACACGCCTACAAGATCCAATTGACGCAAGAGCTGCGTCGGGCCGACCATTTTTCTCGCCGAACGTTCTCAGATTGGCTCCTTGAACACCGCCAAATTGATGGCAATTTTTCATCAAAAATCATGTTCAGCGACGAAGCACATTTCACTTTGAATGGGACGGTAAACAAGCAAAACTGCCGCATCTGGGCGAACGAAAATTCCCGTGAGTATCAAGAGCAGCCGATGCATCCTCAAAAAGTGACTGTGTGGTGTGCATTGTGGTCAAAAGGCATCATCGGACCTTACTTTTTCGAAAATGCGGCCGGGGACGCCGTTACCGTCAATTCTGAGCGATATCACGTAATGATAGAGGACTATTTTTTGCCGCAAGTTGAACGAATGGATATGGACGATGTTTATTTCCAACAATTACGGTGCCACATGCCATACAACCCACGTCTATATCCATCGATTGCAGTCCTTCTTCGGTGATCGCGTGATTTCGCGCAGACGAAATGTGCCATGGCCACCAAGATCGTGCGATTTGACTCCCTTGGACTTCTTTTTATGGGGATATTTGAAAAGCAAAGTCTACGTCAACAAACCAGCCACCCTCCAAGAATTCAAAAACAACATCATTGCCGAGATAAATGCCATAGCACCGACGATGTTGCAAAATGTCATTGAAAATTTCGACCATCGCGTGGACGTCTGTAAATCCAGTCGTGGTGAACATTTGAGCGATATTATTTTTCATACATAAATGGTATAAATGAACCTTCAAAATAAAGTACCCAACTTCATTTGAATATCTATCTTTCTTGTTTTAATATGCGTTTACTTTCCTGCGTCCGTTTTGGACAACCCCATATATAGTCCCCGATTTGATTCGAGGTCTATACAATTCTTTCCTTGTTCAAAGCTAATAAAGACCTGACCTTGACGTACCTCACCTGGAAAAATACACCCCATTTTTCTTTGTGCAAGACAAAGTACATACAAGTAGATATACTTTCACAAATCGCGTCGAACTTTCCTGAGCTGAACTTTCTTTTGTACCTTTGATGGATTTATCGTCGCTGACAGGCTGAGTGGCGATAATAACAGGATGGACAGGGATAAAGCAGGAAGCTTCATCGAAATTGACTGGATATCGATTACTGGGCAGTTTTGGATACCTCATAGTATAAACTTTGTTGATTGGATATATTTGTGTGTGAGAGGTTTGGAACTGAGCTTAGAAAGCGGAAATGTTTGAACAAATTATTATTAATAATAATAATAATAATCGTCTTTATTTAAACTGTACTTCATACAGGAAAACAAGAGTTGCATATGGTGGCGAAGTTTAGCAACATACTACTCTTACACTTAACCACCCATGCAAAAAAAAACAAGTTGTTAAGTAGCAGATATCAAACAAAATATACATATATACATACACATGTACATACATACATATATAAATATGTACATACATACATATACACACATTACATACGTACATGTTGCACCAAGGTTTGCTACATGTACACAAGGGAAATGAAGAATCATTTAACAATATATCTATAGCAATCTAATTAAGACTATGGATCCAAGTAAATATGAGATTTGACAGCTTTCTTGAAGCAATTTAAGGACATGGTTTTGAATTCAGGACTCAAGGCATTGTATAACACTGAAGCCCTGTACGTGAAAGAACGCTGGAATAAAGTAGTGGAGTGAATAGGTGTAGTTATCAAATCTGTATATGTCTATGATGAATATTACGCCTAAAGATCAGCTTTTCTCTTAAGTATATAGGTTTTGACATAAGTATTAGTTTATGAATAAAAACAAGGTAATGATATTTGACAATATTTTTTGTTATCATCCAGTTTAATTCAATAAGACTACCAGAAACATGGTCAAAGCGCCTTAAACCGCAGATGAACCTAGCACAATTGTTTTGCACAATTTGAATCCGATTTATAGTAACAACATTGAGACACAGATAATATAAAATATCACAGTAGTTGAAAATCGGCATAACCAAAGATGAACACAGTTTTTTCCTTAGCTTATAATTGAAAATTGCTTTATTGGCATATAGTGATCTCAGTCTCAAGTAGGTTTTCTTCAAAAGATTTTTAACATGACTGGTGAATCTAAGTTTGAAATCGATTACCACGCCAAGAATTTTAACCTCGTCAACCGGGTACAGTCTTTGAGATCCAATTTTAATAGTTAATCGACTTTTAATTTCTTCTCTCCTACGATCCGAACAAAAAAATAACAGGCTGGATTTACCAGGATTTATTGACAGAATGTGGTTATTCGAGAAGTCATACACTTTTTGAATATCATGCTTTATTGATGTCTGTGTCATTTCCATATCATCAGTATCAAAATAATGGACCAGTTGAGTATCATCCGCAAAAAGACTGGAGTTCACAAAAACTCACAGCCTTACGCATCGGACTTAAAACTAGAAATTATTTCAGCTACTTCATGAGGCTCAAGAAGCCTGAAAGAAAATTTATTAATATGGGGAACATTTTCGCTATAATACCTTAAAACGTGATCAGGAGCAGGAAATAATTATTTGCAAGGAACGAGTCTGCAAGATGGTTTGGAATACGTGGCTTATCAGATGTTTGTGCTTTTTATATTTTTCAATTCATACCACAATTTTTTCTGATCACGCCCTTTTTCCAAGTGAGCAAGATACGCCATTTTTTCATGTCTAATGCACGATAGTGCAAGGTTTCTAAGTTCCCTAAAAACCTGCAATCTTGCTGGACTTCTGTCTATCTTGTATAAATAATATGCTCTCGTTTTTTGCTTCAGAAGCTGTCTCAACGGATATGACAACCACGGCGCTTTCGGCTTACTCACGCGTACCGTCCTTATAGGAGAGTGACGATTGAAGATGTCAATTAACTTGCTACTGAAAAATTGAACTTTATCATCAATATTCCTCATATAACACATTTCAATAAAATTTACTCTAGCCAGGTCATCAATGAAAGATTGCTCATCAAAGTGTGAGAAATCTCTGAAGGTGATCATTTTTTGTTCATGTTTCACACGGGATATGTTTAAGATACAGCAAACAATTTTATGATCGGACAACAAATTAGCATCTAAAGTAAACCAGTTAGTGACAGTAATTGGGGTATCAATAAAAATAGGGTCCAGAAGAGTTGCTGTACTATTAGTTACTCTAGTGGGAGCATCAATAATTTGCTTGAAACCATACATATCCAAACATTTTTGTAAGGTATTATCGGCAAATAAATTTACATTTAAATCACCAAGGATAATAATATTTTTAAAATTACTCAGTACATTAGGCATTATATTGTCTAAGGCATTTGTATAATCAACTAGCCTTTGTGAAGGGGGACGATACAATATACCTACAGCAAAATCATGCTGATCAATCCTTAATTTTACCCATAGCTGCTCTAAAAACAGAACTGTGTCTAGCGTGACGTCATCATCAATAATCTCAGCACGTATGTTTTGTCTAACCACCACGGGACAACCTGTCCTTGCGAAAAAAGTTAAAATTTCTGATGTTAACTACATCCCTTGTGATATCAGGGCTTAACCATGTTTCCGTTAGAGCAAGAATGTCAAAATCATCCTCATTCATCATGTCCGTATATGCGTTAAAGCTTGACATCAGAGATCTTATATTTAGGTGACCTATTTTGCACTTCTTCGTAATACTAACAGGTTCCATATGGATTCAGGAGTATTAACAAAAATAATGAAAAGTTAAAAATTAAGGAAATATATGTTTTTAAAGAAGAGTCGTTTAACTAGAGTTGCTAATCAAAGTTAATCCTATTTTTCAAATTGCGCACATAATTTATATAAGCCGGACAATGAGAATCATTTGCAGCATGATTAACTTGGACGTGTGACTTAGACTTAGAACCATAACTTACACAATTTATACATTTCACCTGGTCACATGCGACCTCACACTGATTTGCCATATGATCTCTTGAGCATTTGATGCATGCAGAGGTAGACGATTTGCATAGCTTGGCAATATGTCCGAACTTACAGCATCTGAAGCACTGGGTTATCCGCAGATGATCAACAATAGGACACTTTCTCCAACCCAACCAGACATAGCCTCGTGCTAGAAGCTTCTTGCGTAAATCAGGGGATACTTCCAGAACTATTTGACGAGTTCTTTCAATTTTGGTGATAACTTTTAAATCCGCATGATCATCCATGTCATTCAATCCCACGATGTTTTCAATTAACATCTTGTCATCCTTGATATCATCAGAGAAATTCACATTTTTTACTAGCAGACGGGGGTTGTATTTTTTCAACTCGTTGGCAGTCAAACGACCATTCAGTTGACCATTGACAGCATTTTTTAGTTTTGCCACATCGATTGCGTTGGGGAATCGAGGTCTTCAAGGAATGTCCATCACATTTTAGTAAAGATAGTTAGTATGGAATTTAATATGTCCGGACTAGCGCAGTTGCTGGCACGCTAACGCTATGCAAAATATTGCACGTTGATGTCTTTATTTAAAACCTCACGTAGCGCAGTTGCTGGTATGCTAATGCAATGCTAGCGATAACTTTATCCCTATCTCTAATCATTTTTTATCCTTTGGCATCTTTGATCTGGTATCTGGTATTTGGTATCTGGTGTCTGGTATCTGGTATCTGGTATTTGGTATCTGTTATCTCTTTATCTGGTATCTGGTATCAGGTATCTGGTATCAGGTATCTGGTATCTGGTATTTGGTATTTGGTATCTGTTATCTCTTTATCTGGTATCTGGTATCAGGTATCTGGTATCTGGTATTTGGTATCTGGTGTCTGGTATCTGGTATCTGGTATCCGATGTCTGGTATCTGGTATCTGATGTCTGGTATCTGGTATCTGGTGTCTGGTGTCTGGTGTCTGGTATCTGGTGTCTGGTATCTGGTATCTGGTGTCTGGTGTGTGGTATCTGGTATCTGGAATCTGGTATTTGGTATCTGTTATCTCTTTATCTGGTATCTGGTGTCTGGTATCTGATATCTGGTGTCTGGTATCTGGTATCTGGTGTGTGGTATCTGGTATCTGGTGTCTGGGATCTGGTGTCTGGTGTCTGTTGTCTGGTGTCTGGTATCTGGTGTCTGATGTCTGGTGTTTGGTATCTGGTATCTGGTGTCTGGTATCAGGTATCTGGTATCTGGTATCTGGTGTCTAGTATCTGGTGTCTGGTATCTGGTGTCTCGTATCTAGTGTCTGGTGTCTGGTATCTGGTGTCTGGTATCAGGTATCAGGTATCTGGTATCTGGTATCTGGTACTTGGTATTTGGTATCTGATATCTGGTGTCTGGTATCCGGTGTCTGGTTTCTGGTATCTGGTATCTGGTGTCTGGTATCTGGTGTCTGGTGTCTGGTATCTGGTATCTGGTGCCTGGTGTCTGGTATCTAGTATCTGGTGTCTGGTATCTGGTATGTGGATCTGGTATCTGGTATCTGGTGTCTAGTATCTGGTATCTGATATCTGATATCTGGTGTCTGGTATCTGGTGTCTGGTATCTGGTGTCTGGTATCTGGTGTCTGGTATCTGGTATCTGGTATCTGGTATCTCGTATGTGGTGTCTGGTATCTGGTGTGTGGTATCTGGTATCTGGTATTTGGTATTTGGTATCTGTTATCTTTTTATCTGGTATCTGGTGTCTGGTATCTGGTATCTCGTTTCTGGTATCTGCTATCTGGTAACTGGTGTCTGGTATCTGGTGTCTGGTATCTAGTATCTGGTATCTGGTATCTGGTGTCTGGTGTCTGGTATCTGGTATCTGGTTTCTGGTATCTGGTATCCGGTGTCTAGTATCTGGTATCTAGTATCTGGTATGTGGATCTGGTATCTGGTTTCTGGTATCTGGTATCTGGTGTCTGGTATCTGGTGTCTGGTATCTGGTATCCGGTGTCTGGTGTCTGGTAACTGGTGTCTGGTATCTGGTATCTGGTTTCTGGTATCTGGTACCTGGTATCTGGTACCTGTCATCTTTTATAAGTTTTCATTTTTCGTTTTCCGTTTTCCGTTTCCGTTTTCCGTTGTCCGTTTTCCGTTGTCCGTTTTTCGTTCTTCGTTTTTCGTTTTTGGTTTTTCGTTTTTCATTTTTCATTCTTCATATTTCATTTTTTATATTTCATTTTTCATTTTTCATTTTTTTTTCATTTTGCATTTTTCATTATTCATTCATTTTTCATTTTTTAATGTCGCATGTGTCACCATTAATAGCACACAATGGCATTATAAAATCTTCGATATAGCATTAATGCCCTCTATAAAATTGTATGACAAACTCAGATTTATGTGAGGAGCCGGCAACGTCGCATGTGTCACCATAAATAACACACAATGGCATTATAAAATCTTCGATATAGCATTAATGCCCTCTATAAAATTTTATGACAAACTCAGATTTATGTGAGGAGCCGGCAACGTCGCATGTGTCACCATCAATAGCACACAATGGCCTTATAAAATCTTCGATATAGCATTAATGCCCTCTATAAAATTGTATGACAAACTCAGATTTATGTGAGGAGCCGGCAACGTCGCATGTGTCACCATAAATAACACACAATGGCATTATAAAATGTTCGATATAGCATTAATGCCCTCTATAAAATTGTATGACAAACTCCGATTTATGTGAGGATCCGGCAACGTCGCATGTCTAGCTACCGCACTTACAAAAAATGGCGCTTGACACTTGACGTATGTGAACCGTGTTCGCCTAAGGATAGCACGTTCTTTCTTCAGTGTAAATGTTTTATGATTTGACAGGACTGAAAATTATGTTTACCTTTTTTAAATCTGCTGACGATTAATAAGGGTACCTCTCAAACTTCTTCAAGGATGAAATACATTATCACGATAGATATACACTGAGGCACTTCGTCTGAACCGAAAAACTGTAAACACTAGGCACCGGGTATCACTAGACTGTTGTTATTTGTTATTATATTATGCTATAAGCACAAAGTCTTGCTCAAATGTTGTGGATTTCTGGTCTCTTCAGGAATTGATCTTTGGCACTAATTAGGTCTTACAATCATATTTGTCGTATTTAAGCTGATGATGACTTCTACAAATTGCTAACCGTCACACCCGATTCCACTAGATAGTTGGGGGTAAAAGACAGGAATGAAAATTGTTTACCTCATTTAAATTTGCTGACGATTAATAAGGCTACCTTTTAAACCGCTCTCAAACGTCTTGAAAGATGAACTAAATTATCTATAGATACACTGCGGTACGTCGTCTGAACCGAAAAACACTCTGCACCACTAGACACTTGCAAGACACACTGCTATAAGCACAAAGTTTTGCTATATTGTGGACTTGTTGCCTTTTTAGGATGGATCCATATAAACGTTCATCTAAAATTATGCCACTCATTAGGGTTTACAATCATATTTATCGTATTGAAAGTGATGATGACTTTTGTAAACAAATCGCTAAACGTCAAAGCCTAAATGCTTAGCTGCCGGTAAAATTACATCGTTGCCAAGGCATACTTGATTATCATTATAATAATGGCTATAGTCCGGTCCGTTTAGACTATGAAATATAGAAATTTTGAATCTTTTCGAAAATGTTGATTTTCACGCGTAAAAAAGGAAAATTCTATTTGGCGTGATCCAATATTCGATGAAGCGACCAACATAAAGCCGAAAATGGCACGGTTCGGACGTTCCGCTCGCACTCGCTCGCTTTCGTAATACGATTATACCTACATTACCCCGCCTAACAGGAATCTGGGGATCTGGAGGGGAAATTCAAAATTGAAACTTCAAACTAAAAATATCTGCATATCTTTGAATTTTCTAATCTGCCGAGTTTAAAAAATGCGATCGGGTAACGTGTCATATGTCGGTTTAATCAGGAGACTTTGGTCTTTCGTTTTGCGAAAAAAAATCGTAGCTACGTCGCTCCGTAACGCAGGTCCGTATCGACGAAGACAAAGTACGCCGAAAAACGGCTGTCATCGGTACTTTTGAGGCGCTCAAAGTTTACTTTTTCGAAATTTGACGGTAATTCTAACGGTCAGAATCGTTTCCTCAGCTCATTATCGTTATATTTCGATAGCTGTATAATTTTTACTCGCCCACGTACGGTAGTAATAGGCGAGGACAGAGCCGGATGACAAAGTGACTTTTTCGCGCGTCGAAAAGTAGCGTGTTGTCGGGCAATTTTTAAAAAATCGAAACTTTCGACCAACAAGGGATAAAGGAAAAAAAAAGACGCTATCTTTGAGTCCGATGTCCGGGCTTTCTCACGCAAAAATCGTCAGGTTCGTAGCTCCTTTATCTTCGGAGGAGATAGAAAAAGCGCGTCGAACGGCACGAAAATCTACCGATTTTTCAACTTTACCGGCCATTTTCGATCGCGTTCGTTCGTCCTACCGCGACAACTCTCGCTCCACCGTAAAGCGCCGAGTTTCTAGTTTCCGAAACGGTATCGTTTTCCTTCCGAACGTTCCGCGAACCCGGAAAAAAACCGGTAAAATCGGAAAGTAGCGCGTAGTCGAGGAAATCAAAAAAATCGAAATTTTCGAACGAAAAGGCATAAAGAAAAAAAAAGAAAGCCGCTATCTTTGAGCCCGAAGCCGGGGCTTTCTCGCGCAAAAATCGCCAGGTTCGCAGCTCCTTTATCTTCGGCGGAAACCTATGTTGAACGTCGGACAGAACGAAAATCTACCGGTTTTTTCGACTTTACCGGCCGTTTTCGATCCGATCCGTTCCTCTCACCGCGACGGCTCCCGCTTCCCGGTAAAGCGCCGAGTTTCTAGTTTCCGAAACGGTATCGCTTTCCTTCCGAACGTTTCGCGAACCTGGAAAAAAAACGGAAAAACCGCGTCGACGTCATACGACAATTTCCGAACCACTACCAATTATACCAATTACTACCAAATCGAACAAAAGATCACCGCTTAATATTATCGATGTTTCAAAGATCAGGCCAGATATCGAAATTTTAGGGAATTTTGATATTCTTAATTAGATATCGATGTGCTCTTTCCGAACTCGCACTTTCAATAATATTGTAATCGCGAATAACTTCGAAAATAACATATGGTTTTTGGATGTTATATTGCAAGTGCATCACGAAAAACCATGTCACTCATTTAGGTCTGTCTGTCTGTACGCTAATCATTGGTCCTAATAAAACTGCTCGGATTTGGATGAAATTTTCAAAGATCGTTCTGTGGCGATGGCGCAAAGAACGAAAAAATAAAAT